GTCCAATTTTGGTTCAAGTAGAACATAAGTTTGACGGAAACTCGGGGACCGCGCCTACCTGATGAGCCCCAAAAAGAGCAAAACCGGTCGTGGGCTGTCGGAGAGTTTTCAGCAACCTTGTGAGTAGTTTCCTTTATGAAAAAACGTGTTTTTCTTTGTGAATGTGGCCAGCTTGGAAAGTGAGGAAAGATGTTGTAACACCCGAAGAACAGCCCCTAACTGGTGGTCACGTGTCGCCTGACAGCTTGTGTCATCATCCGTGACACAAAACGGACAGTCAACTCACAAACGCTCTTTCGTACCTATTCGGTTCATCAGAATATCACGGACGGAGATACTAGTTGTTGAGTAGGGAAACCAATCAATACTCGTCCTCGGTTTTCTTCCACTTCCGCTGCCATCGACTTGAAAATTTCCACAAAGCGTATAAATCATTCACTTACATTTAGGAGTTTCATGGCTTCTACCGGGTAGTGCAATTTATGGCGCTTCTTTGAAAGTCTGCAATCGTTTTAACGCGTTCGGTTATCCTAAGCCTTAGCGAGTCGGGCGATCAATTCAGTTCGGACATCCCCCTGCTAACGCACCAATGTTCCAAGGTCGAACTGAGACCCTAAGAACTTTGTGCACCTATCACATGATGTTCGATGAACTGAGGTCTCCTATCTCCTCAAGTATTTCGATTGTATCCCCCCCCCGGTCTGTTACCGCAAATCGCACCTAGGGAACGTGATTCACCTACTGATAGTTCAGAACGCGATGACTATGCCATGAAAACACAGAAGAAATTAAGAACAACCTCTGTCTTGACCTGAAAGCGGGTATACAATTTGCGTAGTGTAACGTATTTGGCGACTGCTTACTAATTTGCATGATTTCAAGGTGGTTTCTGTGCGGTCGCCGTGTGCGGCGGCATGGTTGGTTCGTTGTGCTACTTACAAGCGTGGCGAGAAGTGTGAAGGCAGGTACAAGCAGAGGGATAAACAATCAATAGATTTCTGATGTTGTCTCTACTACTCTGAGTTTGTGGGCAGCTCTAGCTGCTTGTGCGCTGTGGTCATCCCATTGGTTGGATGGGAAGCGGAACACTTGGGGCACTGTTGTGGATCCGAGCAATATTCAGCGCGGACTGTTTTTATTGACCTTCATTCTTAATGACCATATCTAATCGAAAGCCTTCGAGATATGAAGGCAGTGCAGAAAATCGTACGTAGGATAAACATGCCGGTTTCTATCGTTGTTACGGCATATACTACTGGGGATTCTTGTAAGTAGCACCTGCCTACATTTAAAACAACACCAGTGCAGTTGGCTGACAGAAATGTTGGTTTGTTCGAGTGTGTTTCTCCGTAAAGCCAGGAATTCAGCTAATACCATGAAAGTCCTTTATCAAGGGAGCCAGTGAAGGAACCCACTGACAGGATTCTGGAAAGATCTGTATCTGTCAGGTGTACTGGAAATCGCTTCACTGGCCCCACGACTGACGAACATAGCTTTCATCTAATTCACGAGGAGAAACCGCGTGCGGCAGCAAATCCGACGGAATGAGGATAGAGGACTAGAGTGCCAGTATCCGGTTCTCTCTTACAACATTAACAAATGGGATCAGGGCTTGGTCATTTCAAGAGAAGAGGGATTGCCGACTTCAGAGAAGATGGAGTGTCTACTGAAAAACTAGGAGATTTCTAGATTCCTGTAACCTCTACCGGTTACAGCCAAGCAACTGTTGCATTTGGTGCCAGACACCAGATGACTAGCACCAGAAATACTGAGACGGGGAGCCAACTATCACTCAGGGGTCAGAATGGCCAATAGAGGTAGTGGAGCCAACTCAATGGGATGTGTGGGGCAGGTCCCAGTGCAGGCGGGATGACCAAAAGTTCCATTTCAAGGTTGGCTGTGTCCATTAGAAAGTTCGCCTCAATTCTGAACTTTGCAATTTTTGAAACTGGGAAGTTCATCAGGTGTTACGACTGTGTTCACGGTTGTAGAAACTTGGCTGACATCATTGCTAGACGAGGTACCTAAAAAAATACTCAACAAAAAACCAAATTAGTTTGCAAATGAGTGTATATTCGCTAATTTCGTGCAATTTGGTTTCAAGTAGAACATAAGGTTGACGTAAATCCGGGGACTGCGCCTACGTGATGAGCCCCAAGGAGGGCAAAACCGGTCGTGGGCTGTCGACGGATTTTCAGCAACCTTATGAGCAGTACATTACAAAATTATTTTCTAATTCGGCGAAGGGGGAGTAAATATGAGCACAAGTGGGGACCAAGAGCTTCCTGGAAGTGTGAAAAAATAAGGGGAATACAAGTATGCACCCTGACTGTTAACGAAAAGACAAAGAGGTTCAAGGAGTTGCCAGGAACGCGAAATTGACTATCGCGACTATCAGATCTTAGCATTTCAGTGGAGAAAGAAAGTTCAATCCGAAGTCGATAAAAAGCAGTGTTGTATAGTGGAACAAGCACCGGGATTAGATTTCAATTGGACGCTTGGATAAACGGATTACATGACTTGCTCAAGAGTTTATCTTTGTAATGTACTACTCATGAGATTGCTGAAAACCCACCGGCAGTCCAAGACCGGTTTCGGCCTTCTTGGGGCTCATCACGTAGGCGCAGTCCCCGAGTTTCCCTCAACCTTATGCTCTACTTCAAACCGAATTGCACGAAATTAGCGAATATACACTCATTTACAAACTAACTTGGTTTTTCGAGAGACTCATCCGGAAACCAGCTGAATCTCTCGTTTGGTGTAGCACATTCAGTTGCCTGAGAACATCACAAACGAGAGATTCAGCTGGGTTCCAGGTGAGTCTCTCGAAAAACCAAATTAGTTTGCAAATGAGTGTATATTTGCCCAAGTGATTTTTGGCAGTATAGAGGGCCTAGACATCAGCATTAAAATTGAAAGACTGGATTATCTCAATTGATTTCACGTGATCAAATAACCGGAAAACAGGAGCTTCTGAACTCGCGTGAACACGTTTGAGCTTGATTTTCCGATGAGTTCCAAAAGAGATGAATAAGGGTGGTGGGCTGTCCAAGAGCTTCGACGTCTTAAATATTGTTTCGACTGTGGGGCGTTTTCTGTGAAGCGTTCTAGGCTGTAAATGACCATGAAGAGTAAATTTAGCTGAGACCCCTGTTAATACGATCGATAAATATGTACCGTTCTGTATTTAGCTCGGTGCTCGATAAAAATTGATTTCGAAAACCGTGTTTGTATCGAAAACCCAGAAAACGTTTTCAAACGAACCAGGATTAGATGAGATTATACCTGTTCTGAGTTATTTTTTACCTGAATTCATATTCTAGCTTCCGCAAAACAACACTCAGCTAGAAAAAAAGGAATCGATAGAATAATCTATATAAAACACGAGTAGATAAGTGAACCAACTTTGTCGTGTGCCAGAAGTACGTGTCTGATTGTCTGGATTTATTGGTGCAGCCTTGGATAAAATAGTCGATACTCTGATTGCCATAACGATCGCTTTACTTGCAGGTCACAATGCCATACACGTTATCTCCATCCAACCGCACAGTCAAGCTGGTCTAGACGGAATTCTCAAAGATGGGGATCGTGTCGTAGAAGTACGTTTTCCAAGTCGACTGATTTGTTTCTGATATCCTTCAACGAAATTCTCATTTAGGATCCTCACTGTCTAACCACCTGAATGTTTGAGGCCAAACCGTGAAATGTATGTCTCTAAATTAGTCGACTCTTGAAATATGTCCTACCTATTTTTACACTGCAGGTTAACTATCAAGATATCCAACAGCTACCAGCCCCGGAAGCTCTGAAGCGCATCAAAGCCATGTGTCACAAAGCCAACTTCGTCCACATCAAAGTTCTTCGGCCAATTATCACCAGGGAAAACTCGACTTCCAGTTCAATTGCTGGCAAGTTACATCCTATTTATGAAGCTCGACTGCTCTTGTCCGGGCTTAAGTAACCTGACAGTATCTCAGTCCTAGTGCTTCCTTCGGGTGACGTGGCAGTTATGTACCGGAATGATGTTACAGCTGAACAATTACTTCTTGTTATTATGTTGCCCAGCGCACAAAATTACCAAAAGTGCCTGACATTTCCTCCCAAGAAGTACATTTCTAAGGTGCGAGCTCGCCCCGGGTACATGTAAACGACATATGAGTGACAATGCGGTGTTGTCCACAACGGATAAGTTAAACAAGACCTGACAGGATTGCATCGCACTGTGTCATGGTCAGCAAAGTACTAATCGAATTCCAGATTTCCAGGGCACGTGTTTACTGACTGAAGCATGTGAGGGAATCGGATGTTACCTGAGATAAAATTGTGTCACCTGTTGTGGAAAGCGTCAATATGTCTGCTAACTACATAGCTGACCAAAACACCGAGATCGATTTACTGACCCCCCCCCCCTGAAGTTCGTCCTGGAGGCATACTAAGGCCGATAGGACAGAGCGATTGAACGCGGCTATCATTGACACAGTCCTCTTAAATAGTTTCCTTATTTTCAACTCCCATGACTAATTTTTAATGATTAATCTCTGGAAGCGGTTGGTAAAAGGTCGCGGCGATCTTAGGCCCCTCATTCACTCCGCACTTCCTGCTATAAAACTTGTCAGGAATTACCCAATTCCTACCAGACATTGTCTAGTGAGAACGAGTGTTCACGCTAGGCAGTTATGATCCTTTACGCGCACGACCGTCTGTGTGTACACACCCCACCCGTCATCCACTTGATCGATAGTCTTGTTGGTCTTAACTGATGACATCTGACCCCTTCTGAGTAGTGTTAAGTCTCCACTATTCTTAATGTAGCTTACACGCTGATCATATTGATGTCTCGATATTGATGCCTCAGTGGTTAAGGCGTGATCTTACTGATTCAAAGGTTCCGGTATCTCGACTGCTCCTGTCTGGGCTTGGACAACCTCGCAGTACCTCGTTTCTCGAATTTCCTCCGAAAATACCGAAAGGCTGGGTGATCGTTTTTATCACACTGATGTCTAGCAAAGCCGTCCAAAACTCAAGAGGATCTTTTGGCGTTAGAAAACAGGGTGTAGAAATGCACGAAGTATAGTCTCCTAATCTCACACACAAACTGTCAGTTTTGTTGTCATATTCATCGGGTACCGATATTCTTCAATTTGGTCAGCTGCACGAAGGATAGAAAAGAGCGAACTACAGGAATCTGTGGAGGGTCCTGAATCGCCTGCGGACACCAGACGTTCTTTTCGGCCAGAGAGGTCAGACTCCACAGTGACAGCCGTTGCCGTACCCGCCGCTGAGGAAGATGACTTGACCGGTGAGGAGAACTGTTGTTAAATATGATTCAGTCGTTTTTTTTAAATATTTGTTTCAGGGTGTGTGTAACTCAGCTGGCTCGATCGCCAGCTCCCATTCGATTACATCTCATTTTCGGTGGCATAAATTACACAGGACGTCAGAGATCGAATCCAATCCCACTGTGTCTAGCGACTATACACTATTCTTTTCCCCAGCTTATTGATCTCAGATCACATCAAAGTCGATGATATCCACTTTGTAGCATATCAGCAAGTTCTTCTCACGGGGGCTTGAAAAATGGTTCAATCTTATCCTCAAGTCTGAAACAAAGATGACGTTTTTTCAAGAGTTACTTAATGCTGTGGAAGAGTTGCCACATATTTGCCATGAAGGCCGGTCAGTGTGCTCTTTGTCACGCTTTTCGCGAAAGCCACTTCCGTATTCGTCACAGAACCACTCCACTGTTTGAATGACCAGTAGTTAATTGATCACCAAACAGTCTAAGTAGTTCAGAAGAAGAATGAAACTCAGCCAAAAGGTTGACCTTCCATGTGAGGAGTTGTCACTCGGGCAGCCAGTCAGTCAACGCATGGCCACGTGACCATGTGGATCACGCGATTGAAGGATGAGATGGGTCGTGATGGCTGATCAGCAGTGTGATTGGCTCACACCTAGACACTCATTCTAGACACTCACTTATGTGACCACATCACGTGGTCACATGTGGACTGGCTCCTCAAGCTGATCAAGTGTCTAAACTACCAACCGGGAGTTTACTAGTCCAAAACAACCCAAAACGTTTCTTGCGATGCGCACTTCTGATGATTCCCAACAAGGATGAAACAGCTGTACAGTGCTTCTCGAGTGTTCAGCATTAATCCGACCATATCAGTTGGTATTTCTTTTGGAATAGACTTCTTCGTAACCTTGAGTACCACACTCTCCTGTTCATACAATCGTGACGTATTTTTCAGTGTATCTTGTCCCACTGTGGTTAGAAAGTTTCTTCTGCGTCAGACGCTTCCGGTTTTTGGTTCGGTGCCACACTACGATCACGTCTTCTATTTTTACAAGTAAAGAACATAGTGGCCACGTCTCCCGACTGATCCGGTGTCTGTGTAATTCTCCGTTATATTTTCATCCACATCGGTATTTGTCCTGGTCTTGAGGTGATCGGAGATAAACCACGTGAAATCATCGAGCCAACCAAATAACATTTTTTTCTGTGCAATTCGTTAGCTTTAGGTCACTAATTAAATGTGTATTAGGTAAACGCATCACGTGATGTGAGCGTGGCGTCGGGTCGTGTATTCAAATCACGTGACGGCCGCTCTACGATCTAAAGTAGGTTTCAAACCACAGAGCACGTTTTGCATTTGAACTTAGATTCTGGTTCTCACACGGAAAACCGAACGCTAGACTAGGAATTTCTTTGGCTCAGCTTTCTTTGGTTTTCTTTTAAAGGCATCTGGAGAGGGGTGGTCACCGTCCTATCAACCAGTATTCCATAGTCATCTTAGGAATAGACCATAGCGATTATTGAAGGTGCCCAGTGAAGATGGATCGATAGACAGGAACTTCGAGATGTTTTGTGAAGGCAGTTAAACTCTCGGGACATTGCGAATGCACTGCTAAGTTGCGTGGGCTACCTGAATTGGGCGTGATGATTAGCATATCAGTACCTGCTCAACAGAAGCTCAAGTGTGCTCCTCAGCTCCAACTGACAGTTGAGTCGCACTTTGCCAATGTCCCGTCTCGGAGTGACCACTTAGCTGGAGTGTGTGTATGTATTCAGCTAGTTTCCACTCTCTTGTCAGTTCCGGCAGAAGAACACTTTCTAAACGCCGGACGGGCAAGTTAAACATAATTAGGGCGCACAAATGCCGGTGAAAAACCACCAATCTTAGTTGTCCAGTACATTTGACATCATTTCTCGTGACCACAAACTGGTGTTTTCCGAAATTTTCCGGAGAGGAAAGTTGCGGAAACGTACTTTTGTGGGAAAAACAGAGCAAAGTGAGCGAATCTCTCATTTGCTTCTGACAGACAAAGCCCATCGCACTGGCTTTTAACCGAATTCTTGAGTGCAAGACCGATGACTTCCTGCGTTTAGGGGCATTTTATGCATTTTCCGCTGACTAATCTTAGGAGTTCGCAGATGAATTTTAGAACCTTCCGCGGAACTGGGCGAAGGACCTAATACGGTTCGCGAAGCTGAGTAACACGTATCTATGGGACATTGAGATGCCACGTGGCTGGTCATTTTGTTCGATACAACCCTGTTAGCCATTTTGACACAGACGAGTCTGTTCATGCCGCTAACGGTACGGGGTACTAGGAAGAACTTTGTGGGCGTAGTACTATGAGTGACCACTAGTCACGCCTCCGACCGACTTAAATTGTCTCTGGCCGATGTCTTTGAGCGGTCAGATGAGTTTTTTCATGAATGATCATCAGAAAAGTCGGATTACGATATCTGCGATTGAACGTGCGTGTGATTACGAGCCAGAATAAACTTTCAAGACATTGTTTCTAGTTTTCTTTCCTGAAAATCAACTTTTTTGGCCAATGGCGCACCTACAGGTCCAAACCTCACACTGGCCGTTAGGAGTTTTGAAGGGGTAACGGTAACGAGTTAAAGCTAGCTAGTAAAAGGTCAGTCTTTGTTGTAACGACCACCGCGTTCGCATAGAATCTGGAATAATAAAGCCCTGCTAGAGAGACGTCAAACTTTTGGAATATCCCACCAAGTCAAAGAGGGCTGTTAAAAAATCACGATGCCTTCCTCGTATGTCAAGCATCCGACCGAAAATAGACCTATACAAACCATGCACCTATCGACACAACCCGCATAGTTGAATTTGACTCGATACAGAATTGGTGGCGTTCAGCTTGCCGAATAGAGACGCCATATGTCTCACAGGGCAATGAATACTGGGTGAAAAGAAACATGGTATCTGGCCTAGTTTCACTCTCTTGCTTCAGTGAGTTGCACTCAAATCTAAGCAACCAAATCGATATCACTCCAATTTCTATCTTAGTGGTTCAATGGGGAGTGAACCCTTGTTTCATTGGGTTGAGTATTATTGATCCGGAAAAGAGATCCCTTCATCTCTTAGCTGGCAGAATGTTCAAGACATTACATTTAATTTTTTTGAAGGAAAATAACTCATGAGGTTTCTGTGATCAGCTTGAAAGTGCACGACCGAATTTTCATCAACCTTGGTTTCTAAATGAGCCCAACTTGGATAGATTTCGCCATACATTCGTACAGTAATTTGTTGTTTACTGAAGGTTCATCTGAATCCCAGCTGGATCACTCGTTTATGATATTTTTCAATTAAAAGGTATGATATTCAACATATCACAGAGATTCATTCAAATTTCCCGTTAAGATCAGCTTGATTTGCAAATAAGTGGGGACTGTGTGTAACGAGCGAGGCCCAAGAAGACCGAACCCGGTAGTCGGATTTCAAACAGTTTCCAGCAACTTTATGAATCCGGTAAGAAAACACTGAAACTAGTTCTGGAATCGAAAGTGGTAACAAACTTGAATAGTCCCGACATCTTCATGATGCGCTAACAGGGTCCAAGACTAAATCAGCTTAGAACTCACATTTTTGTCGAGGACGTCGAGGACGAACAGAATTCTGATCCCTCCCGTCAAGGAATCAGACCTTTCGGTTACTAAAAGAAGGCCCTTTCTGGTTTTCGGAATGGCTAACTTACTTTCCGATTAGGAACTCTACAGTGTGAATGTTTGATACCATTAACCCAGTTGACTGTCACATGTGAGCTTTTGATAATCTAGCTCCAGGCCTTAACGGACCCTTCTTGACTGGTCTGGTCATATGTCAGCCTATGATTTGCTCGCAGCGCAGTTGCTTGAAGTGTACCGCATCTGATCTACGGGTCTTACGCCCACTTCATCACTGAGAATCTATCAGCGTTTCTTTATCAATGGTCTCAGAGGTGCTGATTGGCTGAAGTATTCAGTTCGTCAAAAACTGAGTCCCGACTTCCTGAGTCTCTTATTGTTTGAGATGTCACAATGCCAGACCCGTCCAATCGACCATTGTTTAATTTGTTGCTTTTTTGTTTACTAGAACAGTTGCAGTAGTTTGGGTGTTCTTTAATTTTTCACAGAAGACCACTGGAATCGTCGTACGGCCTACTGGAAAAGTCTATTCCCAGAGTCTACGAAAATCTTGGTGAGTATCTGTTGTAAACTACTATCAGGTCTTATTGCTCCAAAAGTCTTACTTAAAATGTTTGCAAATTATAAATGTTCCAAATAGTTTGCTCTTTTAATCCATTTGAATAATTCACCAAGAAGGCAGATGTTTCCGGATGTGAATGTTGCATTTTCTATTCGACAGCGAGACTAAAAAACGCTTATTTGCATGAACATATGCAGTGAACAGACTCGGAACGAAGTCCAGGCGAACGTATCAGGCTATCAAGGTCAATCACAGCTCCGTGCTGGCGAAATCGATTAGAAACGAGTCTGCACCCACAAGGTCGGACGGTAACCACTGATCAGCTGAGTTTCACTGGGTGCCACTAAACGTGATATGGTAAAAGGGGCCTGTAACACGATCAATGAGGCTAGCTTATGAGTGCAGTTTATTAGGAGAACCAGCTCCGAAACGTAACGGGACTACATAACTGCCAATGGAATAACCGTTTTTCGTTGAGACAGATTTCATTGGCTGTTCTTCATTTGACCTTGAGAGATGAGTTGTAGTCTTAGTATCGCTTTTTTGACCCGCCTGTACACGACAATGATCAACAGATCAGCCGGTTCGCGCGTTTGTTGACTTTTTCTGGTTTGGCCAAGCGCACCAGGCTATCGATTGGCTATCCAGACCGGGGTTCATGGTAATAAGAAGGCATTGTGGAGACTGTAGTCAACCGTCTTATCCCTTAACTGAGCACTAACCTGCGGAACGTAATTTGGCAAACATTCGGAAGTACGTTCGTCCTACCAGTATGTGGTTGCCACTGCAATTGTTGGTTGCCTGGAGATAGCGCGGGGGGCCGTTGTTTAAGTTGAGTTCCAAAGTCAAACTTTCCTGATCGTTTCAGCCTAGTAGAACGCACTGTTTTATGTAAGTTGATGGTTGACGAGACAGAAAGTTATGGCGTTCTTGAACATTTGTTTTTGCTGCTTTTTTAAACCGATACATAGTCCTTCGCTTGGAATCGATGATTTTCGACCTCCTAGAGGACAGTCGGATCAAACACGGTTTCTTAAGGCTGAATAGACTACTGAATGTATCGAATACCAGTAGTATTGAATTATGCCACTGAAAAATCTCATGCTGAAAGAGATGATCCAGGCATGCGAGGGATCAGATGATTCTTGTTTCCTGGACAGAGTTTTACCATTTCCGTTGTTTGTCTCAAGTGGGCTAGATTCCCTAATCTAACTTAGCTTTCCATCTTAGTTTACCCAATTCTAGTGACACTCTCGCCCATCAGCTATTGCAACGTTTTGGAAGGAGGTTTTTCCTTACACTTCCTTTGGACTATCTCCAGAAACCGAGGCACTTTTGCTTTGCCCCACCAACTAAATTAGTGTTTTTACTGAAAAGATAACCGCTGCAGCAGGTGTGGAACTGTATTGTCTTGACTCATTCGGTAGATGACTCAAACCTGCTCGAACCTGCAGACAGAACTGCCGTTGTTCCTAACCCAGGACCAGAGTCTCCACTGTTTCTGTTTAGGCTTGGACAACCTTATATTATCTCGGTTCTCATGCCCCCATCGATCGGCCGGCATGAAAGCTAGACACCGGGAGAATGTTGTAGAGGAACGAGCACTCCAGCAGAGCCGAAGGTTATAGCAATCGATCCAAGTACACTCCGCTAGTACATGTCCCTTATAGGCGAAGCTTAATTTCAGTCAACCCTTTGATCAACTTTCTTCGGAGCGGAATGTTGCAGGAGAGTTGTTCCCTACTGGAGACAGTCAATCAGAAATGATTTAATCCTGATGGCGATCTCTAGGAGGAGAATGTGGCACTCTGTGTCGAACAGCTAAGAAGTACTGTACAGACGTTTCATCCTTATTAGGAAACATCGGTAGTGCGCATCGCAAGAAACTCCAATAGGACGTTCCAAGCCCTCGATAGTGGGAATACACTTAACCGTTCGTCCACGAGAGACTGATCAGCAGTGTGATGAACTCGCACTTGGACAGGTTGTAGCTCCGCTCATCCTTCAGTCAGGGGAGCCGCATCACGTGGTCACACGTGTTGACTGGCTCCTCGAGCAACGACTCGCCAGATGGAATTTTCACTCATCGGTTGAAGTTTATTCTTCCACTGAGCTACTTATGAAAGGAAGAAGGCCTTCGCTGCGGAGTTATTTATTAGAAAATGTCAACTGACCAGTTACAGACTACTGGACAGGGGAGCAAAACTCTCACTTGCATCTTATTCACAAAAACTGGACATCCATCTTCTCCTGAACGCGTCTTCCTGAACTTTCCTGAATATTCGTTGACTCCAATCACTCATTGCTCAAATCCAAGCAAATAAAAAGCCATTCCGCAAAAGATCTCCACCTTTGTAGAGACGCAAAGCGAATTTCCAAGAACAACACATACTACTTGCATGCCTCCCATCAGTAGTATCACCGTTATGCTTATAGATTGTTGGTAGTGTTAGAAGATTCTTGTTTTTTTTGTGTGTGGAGATTTCGTCCCGTAAGTGAAGCCAATCTATGCTGAAAAGCCGAGAAGCACTGTACAGCTGTTTCATCCTTATTGGGAATCATCAGCAGTGCGCCACGAAACTCCGAAGGGTCTCGAACCCGTGACCTCCTGGCCTGTAGTTTGAACACTTAACCGTTCGTCCACGAACGACTGAGTATCGGCGTGAGGGACTGGCACTTAGACATCAGGTATCGCCACTCAACTATCAAGCACTTTACCAAAGGCGTATTTTGGAATCTCTGGCGTCGACCTTCTAATGTGAACTCCCAAAACTTGGCTTCTGCTATTCTTTTCAATGCTATTAAGTCTCCTGTGTTAACCCAAATGAACGATGGTCACCCTGAGGCTTACTGCTTCACAAACTGATAGGATCAATCCAATCACGCATCCTGAATTTATCACTACTGATGTAACATATGCAACACGAAAAGTAATAACAATCGAAGAGATTTTTGTGAATGCGAGCTATGATGCGGACAGTCAAATAGCGAATCTTGTGTAAACAGTGGTTGAAAGGATAAACTCGCACCGTCAGGACTTCATTCATAAGTTTCATGTGAGCTTACGACAGTTGGCTTTCCTATTAACGGCATTTTATTCGAAAATCCACGGTATTATAATAAAAGGAAGGCCGAATTATATTGTCATTTAACAAATGAATGGATTACTGCACCAGGTGCGCATTTTTGTGCATGACTACTTATGAGTAGCCAAAATGTAATGCATAATTTTGGATGGCTTCCGTCCAATTTTGAGGTAAGGTGTTGCCGTTTTTAAAACACAATGAAACGCGCATTTTGATCCACTCTATCATCACTGAGTAGGCGTGCATACAATGATCCACTCTATCATCACTGAGTAGGAGTTCTGGGGACCGCAGAGCAATGGTTTGGCCAACGGTTCCGGTCTTCTTAATGACTAGTCTAACCGGACATTTCAATATACCAATTCGCTTGTTGTGCCCAGGACCGACCAATCGTTCATTCAGTCATAAATTGCGAACTTAAACGGGGAATATTGTGGCTTTCACTCGAGTCTTTTCACTGGGAATCACCGATTGTTTCAGTCATCCCATCTAAGTCGTTTAGAGTTACTTGATACGGCGTGTAAGCTTAGATTTCAATGTGCAATCTGAACAGGAAACAGGGTCGTCAATTTGAGTACTCTTGGGAAGAGGAAAACCAAGGTGGTTCACACATTCTTCAACAGAACCGCAACCCAATAGATTGGGGCTTATGTTAATCTCACAGAATGGGCTTTTATCAGATCAATCTGTTTCACCTATCATTTTTTCTGGGTCACTTCTGTCCAATCATGTGCACTCACTTGTATAGATTGTCGAGTATGATACTGAAGACTCGGTTTGCGGTCTGGGGCTGGGAATTGAGGGGACCATGGAAAAAGACACGGAACATGATCTTCCTCGCCCACACCACTATGTAATCGATGTTTTGCCCGACAGTCCTGTGGAACTTCGCGAGAACGTGAAGCCGGGGGATGAACTCTTGGAGGTGAGTTGTGTGTACGATGCCCTAATGTTTCACAGTTGAATGATGTTACCCACGCGGCTGATATTGTTCCATTAAGTCACACCCGAGGGCAATCTTCCCCTTAAATATCCACGACAATGTTTCTCCTTAGAGACCGCTGATTTCTCTGGAAAAAGTACTTCTCTATCACGTCACTTTGGTTTGTCAGTTTTATCCGCTTCAGAATTTTAAATGTAACCACTCTGGTAGTGATGCAAGTGATCGTTTGCTAAGCACCAGAAACTTATCAGATTGTCAGTATCTAAAATGCCACGGTGGTTCTGTTGACCTGTTGCTCCCAGCATTGGTTTTGATCTGGCGGGGTAGAATCAAGTACCCCCATGACTCGTCTGAAATATCCTCGCACACGTTCATCGTGGACGAACTAAGTTTCCCTGCAGCTGAAGCTGTTTACTGATTTCATCGGTGTAATATACGTGTACATACGTATATATATATATATATATATACATTAAAGTCAAAACGACTGTCTACCCCAAGTCCAGTTCTCTTTGTGTTCTTTGTTTCTTCCGACGTGTGTCACGACAGTGTAGAAGTGAGTGTGAAACTACTTCTTTCATATCTATCGATGATTTCTAGAAACACCGTAATGACATTCGCTGCTGGACACGTCCTGTATGCGGGCAAATTTACGTCATCACGTCCTTGAGCACGCCGAAAGAATCCAACCGTATGTGTGCACCGTTCTTCCGGAATTCAGACAGATTTGACCGATTGCTTGGTTGTGTACCAGTAGACATTGCTGGTCTACTGCTGTCCATGGAGATGATGGTTTCTGGAACTTATTCCTTCTGCGAAATGACTTGAGAGAGCCTGTTTTTGGAGGCTAACAATGAGGACCTCTTGTAGCGATTAAACCGAGATGGATATATGGACGTGACGGATGCGTTGTAAAGCATGAAGTTCATTTGTCAATCTTTATTACGACCTAAATGAGGTTTAACACAAACAGATGAAATGTAGATGGACATTTTGGGCATTGGGAAATTGCATCACTCGCCCCATCGCCGTCGCCAGTTTCAAGGCCACTGGACGCAGACGATTTCCACAGAGTCGGATATACTAGTGCGGCTGCGATTGTCAGCGTGATGTGAATCCGAAAAACGCAAGCCGGTGAAAAATACCGACAATGGGATAGATACTAGTGGAAGAAAGGGGTCCTTCGTTGCGGAGTTATTTATTAGAAAATGCCAACTGACCAGTTACAGGCTATTGGACAAGGAAGCAAAACTCTCATTTGCATCTTATTTACAAAAACTGAACATGCATCTTCTCCTGAACGCGTCCTCCTGAACTTTCCTGGATATTTATTGACTGTTGCTCAATTGCAAACAAATGCTACAAAGCGACTCCACGAAATCCGTAATAGATCTTTCTTTTCAAGAGAGGCGTAGCAAATTTACGAGAAGAAAACATACTACTCGCACCCCCATAAGTAGTATCACCGTTGCACTAGTAGAGTCACAGTGTTTCCAACTTTTTATTCCTTTCATGTTTGAGCGATTCTACCGTACAAAACTCCAAAGGGCTGCCCAAGTCCATCTGTTAGGGATAGACAAGCGGTACATTTACCGTCAGGAACAGCGGTCGAACCTGAAAACCTGGTTTCGTCCGCAGCTCTGTAAATCTACTGACAATGGTATTGACATGCTCGTCGCAAGTTGCTTCCAAGTCGATTATTTGTGTTTAAGTATCTCACTGCTTCGCGACTGGTTGCGGAGATTTTCACCAGATGTCTCTGTCGGATTTCCGCGTGATCTATAACCAAAGTTTGCGTTTTGTTTTAAAGTTTCTGAAATCCACCCCCGTCTGTTTTGTGCTCCTCTTCCGTAATATTGAAATGAATTACAGATTTAAACCGGTTTTTATTGAGCAGACCTTTTAACACGTTGTTTAACTTGTCCCACGGTGTTACTTCCATCTCTCAGCAGTCGAAGAACGGCAATCCTGAGAGTTTGGTAAAAGCGACCCAACAAAGGCTTCCAAACAGCAGTGCTGCCAAAGTTACATTCGTATAGCGCTAACTTGTTTTAGGAAGGCGGAGTCCTGGTAAGACCGTCGCCATTTTCATGAAGTAACATAGTCATCTTCACGGTAAGATGCAAGCAAACGTGCGGTTTATACAGTGCCTTGTTTTATGTTCTTGGTAATCGCCACTCACGACCCACTATAGGCCCCATCCATCATTTCTGTCAAATCAAACTATAGTGCTGCACTACCGGCGATAAAATTTACGAGTTAAAGAACCTTCCTAATTTCATTCCATTCAAGGTCAACAAAATCATTCTGTATGAAATGGATCATCTGGAGGTCGCTAAGGTGCTACACGAAATTCCTAGTCATGGATACCTTATTTTCGGTCGTCATGACATCACCAATGTTGACATATTAAGTCCAATTCATCCTCGTCAACATGTGAATATCGTTCGTGAATCTGAGGAGACACTCAAATTGAGGGCTTCCACACCTGAAGAAACTACAGAAGCCCTGGATTCGTCCACATATAGCGATGGATCTGACATAGTCTGCCCGCAACCGAACGATACGGGATCCCGAAGTTCCAGTTCGGACGCCACCTCTGACATCGATACATGTTCTCCAATGGACAAGGTGATCTTTTTCAAGGCCAGAGGGCTGCATGAAGCAGTTCAGTCGAGGGAAACAAAAAGTGTGGTTCTGGACGATGTTGACGTGAGTTTGCCCATGTTTGCATTGTTCTGTGCATTACATCTTTCTGAGCAGATTACTTGTATTTGGCAAGTAGTTAAGATATTTTATAGCTCCAACCAGTGTTAGGGATCTGCCCTAAGGATTCTGATGGAAAGGGGCATATTTTTTTGCCAGTGTTAGGGGTCTGCCCTGAGGATTCTGATGGAAAGGGGCATATTTTTTGGCGTGATGTTGATCCCAAGGCGAAGTAAGGTACACTTCGCGATAACAATTCACTGCTAACTGAGCATATGCGGCAGCCTTTGTGAACGTATCAGTGGTTGACGGCTTACTTGCAAATCGTGTTTTATAAGCTACTAGAAACGTCTAAAACAAGAAGGATACTAGGTTATAGAGCGTTGCCACACCCTCTACAGTCAATGATGTGAAAACCGCACTAGCATAATGTGGATCCCCTCGTTGTAATTTACAAATACTGTCATGAGGAACCTTCATCGGAGCTAGTATCTTCCGGTAATCCTGTAACAGAATGGAACTGTTCGACCCTATCTCCTAGAACTCCCGCGCCCCTTTCAGTTTTTGAAATATATTGCAATCTGCAACTCCTAAATCGCCTAATTAATGAGTCTGTGTCCAGTCCATCTTCGTGCTTCCGCCTCTTAGCTTGTCTGGGTGTCCGAGTTGGGGCGGTGCCACCGGTTGACGTACAGACTCGCGGCCATCCTGGCTCATGAACTGTGCCTCACGCTGGTGACAACAGTCCTGCGAGCCTGTCGTTGAATCTACTGGCATTGGTAATCCCCAACGTAAAAAACTCCACTCAGCACAGGAACTCTCGGATGGAAGTTTCGATCAATAATGCTATCCGCATTCCCCAAACTTAATTGGTCATCCGAACTGAAGCAAGCGAACGATTTCGTTTTTTCTGTGGAAGATAGATTAGAAGTGCTTGCATTAAGTACTTTGATAATAAGCTGAGATGGACTTGTTCTAGGATCCAGAAGATAAGACACATCAAATATGCTTTCTTCCGTGTAAAAATAATCATTCAATGATATGCAACCATTTTCTCACGTAGTAGTGAGACGTTGAAATAAAAAAATTTAAAAAACCGAAAAAAATATTCACAGGGTGTCTCATAATAAACGCAAAATTTGATTCTGTGATTACAGGTAGCCAGTTAGAGGAAAGATAACATACGTTTCCAGTATTATTAACCACATGAAGGAGGTTTTGTGTGCAAGGGTTGACGATGAATGTCAGTACGCGCATTGAAAGTGGGAAACTCTATTATTCCCTTGGTGAAAGCGCCACCGCTGCACTTCGTGGTTACAAAACCAAACATGATCTCATCAAAGATCCATTCACCGTGTCGACCATTACACGCTTGATTGCGAAATTTGAGTCCACTGGATCTGTATTGGATTTTCCTGGCAAAGGGAGAAAGCCTCTGAGTAATGAATGAGCGCCAATTGCACAGAATGCCGTCGAGCAACTTCATTCCCAGAGCACCACGGCATCTTTGTCAATAACTCAGATGTCTCAGTTGACCGGCATTCCACGTGCCAGCGTACATCTTATTATGAGACACCACCTTGGCGGAGTTAAGAACAAGAAGTGAAGAGGAGTGTGCACGGGTGACGCTTGAAGAAGTTAAGCATGCTGTGTCTCACATCTCATGCCGCCTCCAACTTGTTATAGAAGAAATGGGCGGCTTTTTCAACGCCTTTTGTGATGCCAGTTTGTTAGCAGTAAACCTACATAATGCGCGCATGTTTACATATAAAATAATGAATGTTTGATTTGGTATTAAAGTTTAAACATGGGTATTATTTTTTGCCTTTATTATGAGACATCCTGTAGAAGGACAAGAAAATGTCTGTATCGTTGATGACAAAGATTTCCGTGTGGAAGCCGTATATTTCTGGACTGCCTTTAGTCGGTTATACAGATGTTTACTGGTTGCTTTCTTTCGGTGTATAAGGTGGTCCTCAATGGTAGGGTTTGCTCTCAATGAGGCCCCAATGTGAGCTGCAATGGCAAAAAATTCGGTCCTCATGGTAGAAACAGCTCATCAGCTGTTTACGTTTCTTCAAAATGAAGGTCAGTCAAACAAGATCGGGTCAGAGAGAAAAGGTCATCAGCTCTCAAATCAATTTGGATAAAAGTACTCGGACAGTAGACATAATTCAATACCGGTCTTAACAGGGCGGGGCCAGGCTAGCCACAAATAGACAAGTTGGGTCTCAGCGTCGGATCTGCACTGCTTCAGCAAAACGTAACAGACAGTTCACGATCCCGATTGGCCCAATTGGCTGGAGAAATGTACTCACTTGCACACCAATTTCGATTTTCAGCTTAATCATCCGTTTAGGCCATTCTTCAATTGAAGGTCACCCCATGTCTCACTTGTGGTGTCAGAACACTACTTACCGACCGCAAAAGTAGTGTTTTGTCAAGACCGTATTGGTTGTTTCCACCTGTTGCAAGCCAGCAATTGTCAGGTAACCGAGCTGAACGACAGTTTTAAACCATGAAGTATTGGTAGATAACTGCCTCTCGGCTGTTAAGGCCTCCTTGCTGTTGCAAATACATAGGGGGAGTAACCAACCTTGTTTCAACACTGATGCTCGCCACCCTACAGATGCTTGCTTCAGAATGCGAACATTAAAACCGGCCGGATAATCCGGGCATTAAGACATGAAGAGGCTTGACTGTGAAATGCCCGAGGCCTCCAGCTGACGCGCACTGATGCGAAGCAAACGGCTTTGTCAGTCCTAACAGATGAACTGACAAGGGTTAGGTTTTTAATGGATTGCATAATGCAACGAGTATGATGATCCAGCTGATGTCGCCACGCGATATTCGATATGGCACGCTAGTATTGTTAGTTGTAAGAATCATGGCTTTGCCACTGCCAGATCTAGACAAGATGACGATGCGAGTCCCCAATGAAAAACCCCTTGGCTTAAAAACCCAAGTGCAAGACAGTGGTGTTTAGCCGAAAATGTCACTGTTGTACCTCGTCACCTGCGCTGACGCTATTGGGTTATAGTCACAAGACAAGAAGACGACAGACAGTGGTGCCGAAAATGTCACTGTTGTATCTCGTCACCTGCGCTGACGCTATTGGGTTATAGTCACAAGACAAGAAGACGACCAGAACAGAAGGTGTATTAAGGCAATTACAACTGTCTACATATATGATCTCACCTGGAACCCAGCTGAGTCTCTCGTTTGTGATGTTTCCAGGCAACTAAATGTGCCGCACCAGGCCGCGTCATGTTTCAGTCACTACGATATTTGGGATATCGCGATACATGTATATTCGTAATGCACTACTCATAAGACACGAA